TTTTTGTGAAATCCTTACTTATTCTTTAATTAAATAGTATTTTTATTGTTACAAAAGTTCATTATATTTTTGTGCTGTATCTTTATCAGATATAGTGTTCAAAAATATTTTTCTAATTTTTGAATTTGTCTTTTGACATTTTTAATACATTAAAAATTGATTCATTGACAATTCCATACATATACATGCACCTTATCCATGTCTCCCATTATCTTCTCTTATACTTCTCTCCCTGCTTCTGAAACCCTTCTTCCAAACAAGTATCCCTCCTACGTTCACGTCTGTGTGTGCTCCACTGCATTTATTAGGTTGCTCACATGACCATGGGTGGGGATTATCGTACCATTGACTATGACTCCCTCTTTCCCAGAAGCACTTGACTGTCTTTAACTCCTCAGAAAGAGTTGTCTTTTGACATTCTTTGGTAGTATACCATAAAATTGAAAGTTATGAATACTGTCCAATTTATTTATTTTTCTTGTGTCATTTATCTGTTTTCCTTTGTTGGCTTGTGTTACTGGTATCTTATGTATTGTCATAATGTTTTACAGGGTGGTTTGGATTTTTTGTTTGTTTTTTGTTTGTCTCATTCAGGCTGTGTTCAATCTTACTGTATAGCCACCAGGTCTCAAACCTGTGACCTTGCTGCCTTAGCTTTTTGATCAATAGGATTATAGATATTTCTATAGGTATTGGTAACTCAAGGTCATGAATACTTATAAATATTTTATAGAGTTTTTTTGAGATATTGTCTTACTCAGACTGTTCTCTGCCTTTGTAGTTCAGCTAGCCTCAAACCTGTCATCCTCCTGCTTAGCTTTCTGAGAATGTGTCAGTCTCCAGTTTAGTTTTGGCTCTTATATTTAGATCTTTTATTAATTTTTAGTTTGTTTTTTATATATAGTTTGAAGTGAGGACCCAGTTCCATTCTTCAGCATATTGACATCTAGTTGTTCCGGACTATCCTGAAAGATGAATTTTCTTCACTGAATTGTCTTGATATCTCTCTCAAAAATTGGTTGATCTGAGTTTCAAGTTGTAGTGCAGTGGTAGACTGCTTGCCTAGTATGTCCAAGGCCCTGGGCTTGCTCTCCAGTATTGAAAAACCAATAATCAAATGAAAAAGAAACAGGGAAAGTCAGCTGACCATATGTGAGTTTAATTTTTGGATCTTATATCTCCATTGATTTATATGTCTGTTCTTATGCTATTGCACACTTTTTGATTACTATACATTTGTAGTATGTTTTAAGTTGGGAATTGTCAGTCCTCTCACTTTGTACATCATTTCCAAGGTTAGTTTGTTAGGATCCTTTGAAATTTCATATGAATTTTTAAGTTTAGACTTTGTGTTGGCTTTTGGTGGTTCTAGTTTACTTGTTCTAGTTTTTTGTTTGTTTGTTTTAGTGGTTGTTATATATGGAACATATCACAGATTATTGGTGTTGGTGTTTTACCAGTTTGAACAGTTTTAGTCATACCTAGAGGTATAAAAGAACCAGTTTGAATCCAATGGTAGTCACCAGTCCAATCACAGAGGATGGCCAGTTCAGACTGTGCATCCATTACTGCCAGAAGTCTTAGCTGGGACCATCTTTGTAGACTCATGAGAGTTTCCCTTGCATCAGGCTTCTCTACCCAACCTTGAATAAGGCCTTCCCTTCCAGTCATCTGTCTCAGCACTCTCTTCCAACTATCTCACAACCCAACCCCTCAGGTTTCCATGCCTACCTGCCTTCAGTCAATCTAGGATATCTCATCTATTTCCCCTTTCCAGGGAGATCCCTTTTCCAGGAGGCACCCTTGGACCCTCCTTGTTACCTAGCCTCTCTGGGATTGTGGATTGTAGAATAGTTAGCCTTTACTTTATAGTTACTATCCACTTTTGAATGAGTACATACTATGTTTGTCTTTCTGGGTCTGGATTACCTCATTCAGGATGATTTTTGTAGTTCTATCCATTCACCTTCAAATTTTGTGCTGTCATTGTTTGTAACAGCTGAGTAATACTCCATTGTGTAAATGTACCACATTTTCTTTATCCATTCTTTGATTGAGGGGCATCTAGGTTGTTTCCAGGTTCTGGCTATTACAAATAAACCGCTTTAAACATAGTTGAGCATGTGTCCTTGTTGTATGATTGAGCATCCTTTGGTTATATGCCCAAAATTATTATAGCTGGATCTTGAGGTAGATTGATTCCCAATATTCTGAGAAACCACTATATTGATTTCCAAAGTGGCAGTACAAATTTATACTCGCACCAACAATGAGGGAATGTTCCTCTTGTGCTTCATCCTCTATACCATAAGCTATCATTTTTGTTTTTGATCTTAGTCATTCTGACAGGTATAAGATGGAATCTCTTGATTTTCATTTCCCTGATGGCTAAGGATGATGAATATTTCTTTAAGTGTTTCTATGCCATTTAAGATTCTGCTGTTGAGAATTCTCTGTTTAGATGTATACCCTTTTTTGGTTTTTCAAGACAGGGTTTCTCTGTGTAATAGCTCTGGTTGTCCTGGAACTAGCTTTGTAGATCAGGCTGGCTTCAAACTCAGAGAGATCCCCCTGCCTCTGCTTCCTAAGTGCTGGGGTAAAAGGCGTAAGCTACTTCCAACTGGCTATACCCTATATTTTAATTGGATTATTTATATTTTGATTTCTAGTTTCTTGAGTTCTTTATATATTTTGGATATCAGACCTCTGTCTGATGTGGGATTGGTGAAGATCTTTTCCCATTCTGTAGGTTACCATTTTGTCCTATTAATGGTGTCCTTGGCCTTACTGAAGCTTTTCAGTTTTATGTGGTCCCATTTATTTATTGTTCATCCTGTGTCTTTGCTACTGGTGTTCTATTCAGGAAGTTGTCTTCTTTGCCAATGCAATCAAGCCTAGTTTCTCTTCTGTCAGATTCAGTAGAACTGGATTCACATTGAGGTCTTTGATCCACTTGGATTTGAGTTTTGTGCATGGTAGTAGATATGGATCCATTTGCACTCTTCTACATGACAGCATCCAGTTATGCCAGAACCATTTGTTGAAAATTCTTTCTTTTCTTCATTGTATAGTTTTGGCTTCTTTGTCAAAAACCAAGTGTCTATTGTTGTGTGGATTTACTTCTGGGTCTTCAGTTCAATTCCATTAATCTACTGTCTGTTTTTATGCCAATACCATGTGGTGTCTGTTTGTTTGCTTGTTTTTGGTTTTTTTCAAGACAGAGTTTCTCTGTATTGTTTTGGAGGCTGTCTTGGAACTCGCTCTGTAGACCAGGCTGGGCTCGAATTCACAGAGATCCACCTGCCTCTGCCTCCTGAGTGCTGGGATTAAAGGCATTCGCCACCAACGCACGGTACCATGTGGTTTTTAATTATTATAATTCTGAAATAGAGCTTGACATCAGGGATGGTGATACTTCCAGATTATTGTACAGGATTGTTTTAGTTATCTTGGGTTTTTTGTTTTTCCATATGAAGTTGTGTATTGTTCTTTTGAGATCTGTAAAGAATTATGTTGGGATTTTGATGGGGATTTCATTGAATCTAGATTGGTTTTAGTAAGATGGCCTAGCTGTAGGAGTTCCCTGGTAGAACTTTTCAGGTCACACATATACTATCATCTGCAAATAGCAGAAGTTTGACTTTTTTCTTTCCAATTTGTATCCCCTTGATCTCCTTTTGTTGTCTTATTGCTGTAGCTAGAATTTCAAGTATTTTATTGAATAGAAATGGAGAGAGTGAATAGCCTAGTCTTGTTCCTGATTTTACTGGAATTGCTTTGAGTTTCTCTTCATCTAATTTGATGCTGACTGTTGGCTTGCTGTGTATTGCTTTTATTATGTTTAAGTATGTTCTTGTGCCCCCAAACTCTCCAATACCTTTATCCTGAAGGGATGTTGGATTTCATCAAAGGCTTTTTCAGCATCTAATGAGATGATCAAACATTGCGCTGAATTCAGGGAGTCCTGCTGAGGAGAGCGAGCAGGGATTGTAGGATCCAGGAGGGACCAGGGACATTGCAGGGGAATCTACAGAAACAGCTAGCCTGGCTCATGGGAACTCAAAAGATTCTGAACCAACAACCAGGGAGCCTGCATGGGACCGACCTAGGCCCTCTTCCCATATGAAACAGTTGTGGAGCTTGGTTTATTTATGGGAATCCTGGCAATGAGAGCAGGGGCTATCCCTGGTGCTTTGGCTGGCTCGTGGGAACCTATTCCTCATGTTGGATTGCCTTGCCCAGCCTTAATATAGGGAAAGGTGTTTGGTCCTATGGCAGCTCGATATGTCATGCATTTGGTCTGATACCCATGGGAGGCATGTCTCTTTCTGGGTGGATACAGAGGAAGGGTGGTGGCAGACGAGAGATAGAGGGAAGGGAGGGATGCTGTGGTCTAGAAAAGAAAGAAAAGAAGAGAGAGAGAGACAGAGACAGACAGACAGAGAGAGAGAGAGAGAGAGAGAGAGAGAGAGAGAGAGAGAGAGAGAGAGAGAGAGAGAGAGAGAGAGAGAGAGAGAGAGAGAGAAAGTTAAGTTAGTTTGGAGCAGTAGCCATTATGAAAGTATGAAAGGTGGGACATGAACCTCTCATAATGAATGATGACTATTGAACAGATTTAAGAAAAAAACATAATATAAGATTAGATCAAAGGCAAGGGGAATGAATAATTGCATTCTAATGGTGTGCATTTTGGAAAGAATAGTTCTAGCAAAAGTGTTATGTTCTTTTAGATAAGAGAGGGTAGGTAAAGCAATAGGAGGATTTTTGAAGTGGACAGGGGATAAGTAGAAGTGCATTAACTTCAGAAGTTGATTCTGTTTAGGGTTACAATAATGACAGAGTAGGCCAGGTTGGATATCGTTACAGTGAAAACATAGGAGTAGTTTGAATTCAGTTGTAGACTGTTTTGATGGAGTCAAGGTTAAGCTGACTAGGCAGTGAGGTGTCCAAAGAAAGGAAGGCCTTTTGCTAGCTGTGATCTTTGCCTTATTATACTACAGGATGGATCCATGCTGTGCTGACTCCTGTGGACTGCCTCGCCTTTGGAGGGAACTTCTTACATAGCCTTAACATTGAAATGCAGCTCAAGTGAGTTCTGAAATTGTCCTTTCTTGCGGGCTATAATTCTTGTGTTTTTCACTGAGTTAAGAATGCAAGTATAGTAAGATAAAGACAACCAGAAGGAAAGTATTTGGTTCTTCTTTTGTGTGTGTGTGGTTTTTCTAGGCAGGTTTTCTTTGTGTAGCCCTGGCTGTCCTGAAACTTGCTTTGTAGTCCAGGCTGGCCTCAAACTCAAGAGATCTGCCTGCCTCTGCCTCCCAAGTACTGGGATTAAAGGCATTCACTGCCACTACCACCACTACCGAGCTGTATCTTGGTTCTTGATGACACTCAGTTTGACAAGGTTAACATCCTTTCTTCACTTGGTTGTTCATGTGTCTTTGGGCAAGTCACATGATCTTTGAGTTCAATGTTTCTAAATAAGATTTTACAGGGTCACTGTGAGGATTAAATACAGAAGATACATATCACAAAGAATAATACTTGGTACACAATAGGTTCTCAGTAATAGATCCTTTTTATAGTCATTTTGTTTCTTTACAGAGCCTATGAGATTGAGAAGCGGCTGAGCACAGCAGACCTCTTCAAGTTTCCCAACTTTGAGACCATCTGTTGGTATGTGGGAAAACACATTCTGGACATCTTTCGAGGTATGGGTCTCCTTACGAGCTGTCATTTTTGCTAAGAGAGAAAGGAGGAAGAAGAAGGAGTGTGGAAATTGTGGGAGAAAAAAGCTTGCTACAGCTGGTGCCTTGTGTATAACAAAACAGCATTAATACCTTAAATATGTACAATAAAAAGTCCCAATAACTGAGCTATAGAACCAGCCTAGATATCTGTAAATAGATGGTAGATAAAGAAAATGTGCTACTTAGACACAGTAAAACTTTATTCAGCTATAATGAAAAGCTGAAATTTTGGTATTTGCAGAAAGTGGTTGTACTAGAGATTATTATGTTAAATGAAATAACCAGACTCATACAAATATTTTGTTTTTCTCATATGTGGAATCTAGGTGTGTGTGTGTGTGTGTGTGTGTGTGTGTGTGTGTGTGTGTGTGTGTGTATGCAAATTAGAAGAGGACTATGAGTATAGAGAAGGAGGTCTAGCAGGTATGGAGAAGGAGGTCTAGCAGGTATGTCACACCTGTGGTCTAAGAGCTACATCCATCTGCATGTGGCCAAGGACAGCCGAAAATGGGGCCAGCACAAAATTGTAAACTGACTAAAGATATTATGAAGTGTATTTGTAGTTTGTTTTGGTAACTCAGTTACATGGTTATCTAGTTTGAACTTTGAAGATAACCGCATTGCTTTGCAATGTCAGAAGGCTGGACACACTTGATGAGGGATGGGCAGGACAAAAGGTAATGGAATATATGTAACATGGAAGCAGATGCCAGGACTCTGGGGTAAGGAAGCAGGTAGAAGAGAGCAGTGGGTTGAGTGAATAAGAACAAAATACACTGGTTTATATGTATAAACACCTCTTTGTATTTTTCTGTACTAACTAAAAAATAAAAGTGACCTAAAAAGTGCTACAACCATTACACTACACTTTCTTTCTCCCCCTACATCATCCCTAATTTATAGAAACTACTAATCTGTTTTCTATCCCTATAATTTTGTCATTTGAAGAATATTGTATAAATGGAATCATATAGTGTCTGTTAGGATTTGCTCTTTTATTAGTATCCTGGATGTGCCTCCCTCAGGGATGAGGCTCAGTCCTGACATCCTGACCTCATCATATATATTCTTGGGTATCAGCCCAGATGGAAGCCAACTTGCTGGTTTTCCTCTTTCTTGGTCTTGTCTGAAATAGAGTCCTTTGTTTGGATCTGAGATTGATTCTTCAAGGTAACTTGGTCAGAAGGAATCAGTATCTCAATTACAAAGGACCTCATAGCCCAGTGGGTATAGTTTCTTACCCAATACTTCAAGCCCTTACTCTGCCACTTTGACAGACTGTCATATAAGTTTTCAAATGTGGAATAACTAATGGCTCATTTACCTATTTTGAACAGCTTAGTTCAGTAGAAAAATCTTTATAAAGCCTGAAACTGGGTGTTAGTAGCTTCCTCATGAAGTAAGGCAATTTTGAGACCTAAAAGGCAGAATAATTTAATAGAAAGAATATAGGCCTCCCTTATATTCAAATAGACAGTCTGTGCTCTGGCACTTACTACATGTATATCCTTGCTCAAGACTCCTCAGACCTTTAGTTTCCTGAACTATAAAATGAACTTTGCTTGCAAGGGATATCAGGATTAAATAACAAGTGCCTAGTATATAATACATTCTCAGTAACTGAACACTATTGGTGTAACAGAGCTGAAGTTGTGCCCAGAATCCTCAGCATTTTCTTTGGTTGACAAAGGTAGCAAGTCCTACATCCCTTTGAATGACTGTATTGAGATTCTTCTTTTTGGTTTTTTCCCCTGTTTTAGGTTTGCGAGAGAACAGGAGACACCCTGCCTCCTACTTGGTCCATGGTGGTAAAGCTCTGAACTTGGCCTTTAGAGCCTGGACAAGGAAAGAAGTAAATATGCTTATTTCTATACCTACTCAGTAGTTCTTCCTTCTGTAAAGGCTAGCTATTGGTACGTGTTTGGGGAGACTTAAGGAATCACAGAAGCAAGTAGGCTCCTGCATTAGAGTGGAATACTGGGCTAGGAGCCTTTATTTCTGATTTTAAGAAGCAATACATGCTTATTCTTCAAAATTAGAAACATATAGAAGGTTGTAAAGAAGAAAAATATCACTTGTAATTTTAACTGAAAGGAATTGACATTTAGTTATATTTCCTTTTGATCCTTTTGTGTGCATTGCATTATTTTCCATTTTACTTTATGTGTGTGGGTGTTTTGTCCAAATGTAAATGCACAGCATACACAGTGCCTGCAGAGGTCAGAAGAGTGTGTCAGATTCTCTGGAACTGGAGTTGTAGACTTATGTGGATATTAGGCATTGAACCTATCTCCTCTAGAAGAGCAGCCAATGCCCTTAACTGTGTGCATATTTTGAGGGCACTAGAGGTAAACTCTAGAGCCCTGCATATGTTTTGTACCTTGTATCCCTGGGTCTCATATGTGCATTTAGAAACATAATTGATATTGCATTATTTATTCAATTTTGTATCTCACTAGATTGACTTAATTTTTTTGTGTTACTCAAGTTCTCATAAATACTTAATTGCTACCTGCTATTCTTTTTCAGGAATATGCTATCTTTATCTAATTATTTGCTTATAGTTGCTTTCTGTTTTCTTATTTAGAGGGATGTAGTTATAATGAATCATGCAGTAAATATCTATGCATCAGTCCTTGCCCTCATCTCTTGTTAATTCCTTCAGGATAGATTCCTGAAAGATCAGTGTATATGAAAAATGTTAGGCTCTTGATGCACACTGTCTAAATGGCTTTTTAGAAATGTACCAGTATTCCTCTCTCTGACTATAAAGCAGCTATAAAAGATAATTTTTATATCTTTCTTAAGCTCTCTATGTACTAATTTGGAAATATCCCAAGAATTTTGTCAAATGAAGGTACAGAACTATGTATAGAAGCAACCATTTATGTAAAATGGGAGGAAACAAGAATTGTGTTTGTGTACATTCATATTTGCCTGAAGACATACATAATCTGTAGAGATGTTTCAGAAGTTAAAGAAAAAGTAGTTACTTATGGGAGAGGGTAGAATGAAGATGCAAGGGATAGGGTAGTAGTGAGGGTTTTCAACATAATCTTTTTTCTCAATATATGTCTTTATTTAAATTAGAAACGGGAATGTTTCACATGTCAGTCCCAGCTCCCTCTCCCACCCCTCATCCCTTGTCTCTCCACCAGCCCTCCAGGCCCCCACCCAATCCCCACATCATTCCCCAGGGAGGGTGAGACCCTCCTTGGGGGATCTCTAAAGTCTGCCATTTCATCCTGGGCAGGACCTAGGCCCTTCCCCTTTGTCCAGGCTGAGAGAGCATCCCTCTATTTGGAATGGGCTCCCAAAGCTCATTCATAAACCATGATAAACACTGATCTACTACCCAAGGCCCCAATGATTTCTGTGGCCTCCTTTCTGGCACTACATTCATGGAGTCTGGATCAGTCCCCTGTTGGCCTCTTAGCCATCAGTCTGGGATTCAAGAGATCCCCTTTATCTGATCAGCTGTCTTTGTGGGTTTCATCATCATCAACATAATCTTTTTAATTATTTTTTGAACCATGTAAATATATTAATTTCCAAATGTTCATTTAAAAAATGTCAACCTTAAGAAATTCAAAAGTAGTTTGTTTTGTGTTAGTCAACTACTCTGTCCTGGGGTATGGTTAATATACCCAGTGAGACTATATTGGAGAAAACTGATTTCTCCTTTGTCAACAGATATCAATCACAGATAGTTTATATTGGCTAGGAGTGAGAGTTCATGTTGATTTCTGGGTTTGTGTGTGTGTGTGTGTGTGTGTGTGTGTGTTCTCTGTGTGTGTTTCTTGTTGGGTTTTTTGTTTGTTTGTTGTTTGTTTTAAATGATAAAAAGGACATAAAGTTGGATGGGTAGGATTTGGTTGGAATTAGGGAAGGGGAAACACACGATCAAAATATATTTGATAAAATTTGTTTCAAAAAGTTAAAAACAAAGAAATGCAAAATATAAAAAAGTATCAATGCTGTCCCAAGGTTTCAGACATTGTAGGTTTAACCTGTGCAATCTCTTCATTTTGTGTTGCCAGCATTCCCCTAATACTTTTGAACTTCAGGTTTTGGGCTTTCCCTTGTTCCCTGATCTCAGTACACCTCCTTTTTAGCCTGTAGTTCTGTTTTATCCATCCTTCTCCAGTGTGGCTACCTTTAGTGTTTAATGTTATCTCTGATCCTTCCTATTGAATATACTTCAGACAGACTCTTCAAGGAACACCAAAAGAAAGTGAGTGAATAGTTCTTAAGCTCTCATACACTGAGTCAAGATGGAACCAGGAACTAAGGAATAGCTCCAAATAGCATGGCCAAAGGAAGCTTGAGGATAGTAGAATACTATTAAGGAGCCCAGGCAGGCTCATGGAAGAAGTCTTCTTTGAAGTACAGATGATTTGCATGGAAGCACTTGCTCCCTTCCCTCCAGTTCTCTTTGCCTGGAAGGGACGGAACCATTAAAGTTATCCAACTGGGTTACATGGGTCTCATTGCCCTATGTAGCATAGCCCTCAAATTCCAGGTTAATTAGTTGTTAAGGGGAGAAAGAATTGAACCATGAGAAATAAAAAACAATACTGAGAAACTGTATTCATCTTCTGCCTACTGAATACAGAAGCAAAATGAAAAGTGGTAGAAGAAATAACAACAAAAAACTTGATCTCAGGCAAGGCGTTAGTGGCACACACCTTTAACCCCAGCACTCGGGAGGCAGAGGCAGGTGGATCTCTGTGAGTTTGAGGCCAGCCTGTTCTACCGAGTGAGTTCCAGGATAGCCTCCAAAACTCTATCTTGAAAAACAAAACAAAACAAAAAAAGTTTGATCTCAATATATAAAAACCTAAACTTCAATACTCAAAAAGATGACAAACAAAAGACACACAACTAGCAGGTATCTCCCTGCTATTGAGCTAGCTGTGGACCTGTATCTGTTGTTTCTGAGGTCTGTTCTCCCAAGCGGAGAGGTTGGCTTGTCCCAGTTGATCTCCCTAAGGTCATTGTCTTCACTAGAGGTGTGACCCAAATTTACATCTTAATTCTTGACACTTCTTGATATTGTCCTTTATGAGATATGTGATTTTTATTTCTTTTAAGCAGATTTTTCACTATATAGCCTCAAATGGAATCCTCCTGCCTCAACGTCCTAAGCACTGGAATTATAGATGTGTACTTCTATGTTCAGCCAGATATATGTTCTATAAAAGTTTTCTCTCAGTCCTTTGTTTATCTTAAAGTAACAGAGATTTTTCAAAGGCAGGTGTTTGCCTTCTGTAAGTCCATTTTATTTGTTTAGTTCTTTGTAGTTTGTGCTATTTTTGTCTTATGATATAGTTGCTTAGCAAAAGTTCATAAAAATTTTCTCCTTGATTATATAGGGTTTATATTTTTAAGTTCTAAATTTAGGTCTGTTATCCTCTGTGTCTATTTCAAGAAATGTATTAAAGTTTTTGCTTTTGTTTTGCCTGTGGATATCCAGTATCCTATTGGTTCCCTATCGGTTATTGAAAAGACGATTCTTTCTTCATTGCTTGCCCTTGGCATGTTTACAAGAAATCAGTTGTCTCATGCTTCTTATTTGACAGGCTCTACCAGACCATGAGGATGAGATCCCGGAGACAGTGCGGACTGTACAGCTCATTAAAGATCTGGCTAGGGAGATCCGCTTGGTGGAAGTAAGATGCATGGGAGGAAGGAAGGCATTTGGGAAGGGCTGGAGACTCAAGTGGCAGGTCAGGACTTTGTAGTTGGTATAAAGCCCAGGGAAGGAATGGGAAGACTATCAAGCCTTATTCATTCATTTAGTCATTCATTTAAATAATTATGTATTCTGAGTGTATGCCGCCTGCTGGGCTTGGTTCTCAGGTTACACGAATGATGTAGTGTCTCCCACAAACACACATAGTTAACCTCTCTGAAATTCAGTTTCCTTATATCTAAACTGAGAATGATATCCACCCAAGGTTGTTAAGAAGATTATATAAGGTAATCTGAATTGGACGTTAAGTATAGTGTTTGACATGTAGTTGGCACATAATAAATTCTAATGGTGGACCATAGTGATAGTTGTAGTTATTCAATTTAATACTTTTACTCAGTCTCTGAATTCTACAAAATGACAACCTCAAGTTGAAAATTATTGCAAAGGCGTGTTTCAACAGGTGGCATATACCATGAGACAGGAGATATAGTAATAAGAAGCCTGGGTTCTTTCACTTAAGAGCCTTTCAGAGTCTCAGTTTCCTGATCTGTAAAGTGAGGAGTAACTTTATCAACCTTTAAGATCTTTGGTAGAATTGAGAGGTCATATAGAGCCCCTCGCACAGTGCCTGGCAGAGTAAGTACTCAATAAATGTGAGTCGTTGTTATTAATAGACTTTGTAGCAAAGAGAAAACTCAGTGTGGGCTGGTAAGTAGCAGAGGCACCAGAGGAGAATTGAAATTGAGGATGTTAAAGTTGTCTTAGGATCTGTACAATTGTATTTAGTGCCTAAGAGATATCGACTATGTGTCTGTCTGTCTCTCTTTCCCTTCCTTCTTCCTCTTTCTTTCCTTTTTTCTTTCTTTCCTTGTGTATGTATGTATGCATGTATGTGTATTCATGCTACAGGGTCATTTGCTTTTAGAAGTTGGACTTCTGGCCTCACTGCTTGTAGCATGTTTCACTATCTACTCCATGGTCTTCAGTGTCTACATCCTACCTCATTTGTCCCATTTCACCTAATAAAACCTTTCAGGAGTCAGTCAAAGGACTATATTGTTTACAGTTTATACTTAACCCAATTTTCTAATACAGAACTTTGGGCTAGTTAGAAGAAAACTCATGAGATAGACCAGGACTAGTTCACTGGCTTTAAAATAAGCAAAGGAATCCTTTTTTCCCCATGTAAGATCTTGTACGGAAGCCAGTTTATATAGCAAGTCAAAGCATAGCTGCTTTGAATAGGATAAAGGTCAGAGACCTAGAGCTCCCCTTGTTCCTCTCATCTGCCTTCCACATACCACCAGTCTCCAAGATTTCTCCCAGGAAGCTCAAAGAAACCACAGAACATCTTTGAAAATACCTTTTTAGTATTGACTTTTAATTATACAGCTGAGCAAACAAGCTCTACAGCTTGTTCAGTCAGATAACTTTCCCAAGGTCACAGGGATATCTGGTAGCAAAATTAGGACTAGAATATGTCTTCAAAAGTCCTATAGTCCATAGAGTTTGAACCACACAGATATGTACTTGATTATTTTTTTTATTTTGTGTCAGCTAATCTTGGAGTCTTTTCCCTCCAGTTTTGACAGTAATACTGGGCTTTTTCTTTGCTCGTCTTCTCTTTACTTGTCAATGGCTGGGTAAATAAATGCCACCCAATAAATTTATGATGACTCACTGTATAGAAACCAGGGGTGTGCATATGTGGAGCACCTGTGTAAGCCACTTCCATGGCAGTAACATTAGTGCTGGGAACAGACCTCTGCTCTTAAAATAGAGAGAACCATTGAGTAAGCTCTAACCCCCGCGTGTACTAATACTCTTATAGGACATCTTCCAACAGAACGTTGGGAAAACGAGCAATATCTTTGGGCTGCAGAGGATCTTCCCAGCTGGCTCCATCCCCTTAACCAGGCCAGCCCATTCCACTTCAGTATCCATGTCCAGGCTGTCACTGCCCTCCAAAAGTGGTTCAAAGAAGAAAGGCCTGAAGCCCAAGAATATCTTCAAGAAGGCAGAGCGAAAGGGCAAGGAGAGTTCAGCCTTGGGGCCTGCTGGCCAGTTGAGCTATAATCTCATGGACCCATACAGTCATCAGGCACTGAAGACAGGCTCTTCCCAGAAAGCAAAGGTGGGTGCTGGCCCATGGGTTCAGCCCAACCCTTTTGGGTCCCTTGGAAGAGCAATATTTCAAAAGAACAGGCTATCCTGTTCTGTTTCCATCTCTTAGGGCCCCTGGTGTTTGGCTACTAGTTCCACTCATTTAACAGGCATTTATTGAGACATTTTCTGTGCTGGGCACTGTGATAGGTGCTGTGAATGGAACTCAAGAGGCTGATAGGCTAATAAGAATGATAGGTGTGAAAACAAATGAATGAAATGAAGTGTGGATGTCACAATCAAGGGTCTGTGCGGGATTTTTCAGACACAGAAGGGGGTTAATTTTATCAAGGTAGGGCTCAGAAGCTATTTTCCAGGTACATGACACTTGAGTTGAATCCTGATAAACTGATGTGGGAATGAGATTTAAGAATGTTGTGTGTTGTGTTAGAATCTTGAACAGGTGCTTGTCTCCTCCTTCAGGGTTTTACTTTGTCTCAATATGATGTTGCCCTCTGTGGGTATCTAATGATGGTACCCTCTTCCTTTTTTGGGGGGAATATGTTTCACAAGCTATGATATGTTTTTCCCAAGCAAGCTATATATTCTCAACCTCCTACTCCTGTAATGGTTGGAGGTGGGGGTTGGGAACAGGCATATCAGAAGGTCTTGGTTCAGAGGGTTTTTGACAGTTTTGCAGTAAAACCAGAGGGAACTGGCCATCTTGATTTACCTGGGTCCCAGTCTCAGACTGGTGACAACTGAGCCTCCTCCTTCTACAGTTCAACATCACTGGTACCTGCTTGAATGAATCAGATGATGACTCACCAGACATGGACCTTGATGGCAGTGAGAACCCACTGGCCCTGTTGATGGCCAATGGCAGGTAAGATGGGTAAAAGAAACAGAGATAACTGAGATTGCCAGTGACAAAATGTAGACCTGGAGGTTGGGACATGGGTGAGAAAAAGGCAGTATTAGACTAATATTCAAATGTTAGTAGATAATTTACTTTGTTCAGAAGTCATGGTAGACAGGGAGAGAGGTCTAGAACCTAGCTGGTAATTTGAGAAAGATCTTATATAGGTTCTAGAATTTTAGCAAATTATTGTGGTAGAACTACTAGTAGAAATAATTAGTGGAAGTAATAAATATACAGGTTAAGAACACAGGGTGTTGGGTTGGAGAGATGGCTCAGTTGTTAAAAGCACTTACTGCTCTTGCAGAGAACCCCAGTAATATTTCCAGTGCCCACATGGTAGTTCACAAACATCCATAACTCCATTTCCAGGGAATCTGATGCCCTTTTCTGATCTCCATGGGCACCAGGCTCACATGTGATGTACATACATGCATGCAGGACAAACATTAATATACATAAAATAAAAATAAATAAATCTTTAATAAAAGTACATAGAGGGTTTTGATTAATTTTTATTCACTATGTGTATGGAGGACAAGGGCACTACATACAGGGATGCCATGGCAACAACTTTGGGGAATCTATTTCTTTCTGATGTGGGTTTCAGGAATCAAACTCACGTTGTCAGGCTTTGTGTACCTAGGCCCTTTACCTGCTTTGCCATCTTGCTAGCTCAAGAACATACTTTATAAAATATGCTCTAATAATTAATGTATAGGAATTCAGTTTATGGAGATCTTCATACAAATGTGTAAGAAGAATTGTTCAATGCATCCTGCATCCTTGTAATGATATGTGTCTGAAATCATTCATATATTCACCAGCATAGGTTAAATTATAGCATATAGCATCTTTAGAATGGAGTCCATGTATCAGAGAATTAATAAAAAATAAACGGAATGGAGCACTTTAATATCTATTAGCACAGAAAAATGACCAAGATAGTGTCTTTTTTTCAATTGAGGTAGGTGTCTCACTATATTGTTCAGGCTAGTCTTGAACTCCTGATCTCAATTAATGCTCCAGCCCCGAAATAGTTGTCATTGTAGACATGCCTTGCTTCAAGATAGATTTCAAGTTTTTTTAAATTCAGGGATTGAATTTAAGGCTTTATATATGCTAGGTAGGCACTCTGCCACTGAACTGCCTCCCCAGACATCCCCCACCAAACACACATACCTTTTTTGAGACGGTCTACCTGCATGTCTCAGACTGACCTTGAATTCACTTATGTAGGCCAAATTCTTGAAATCATGATCCTCCTACCTTTATACCCTGATTGCTAGCATTGTAGGCATGTTCCACCACCATTTCTGGCTTGGTGTATATATGCATACATACATGTACATGTGTGTCTTAATGGAAATATTCCTTTTAAGATTTAATTTAGTGTGTAAGTGTTTGTGCCTGCATATATGTATGTGCATCAGGTGCATGCAGTGCCCAAGGAGGCCAAAAGAGGAAGTTATATTCCCCAGAACTGAGTTAAAACAGTTGTGGGCTCTATCAGGGTGCCAATAATTGAATCTGGGTGCTCTGGATGAGCAACCATTGAATGTTCCCAACCATTGAGCTGTCTCTCTGGCCCTAAGGTGTTTTTCAATGAAACAAATCAGGTTACAAAATAGCATGTAATTCTACCTTTACTTTTAAGAAGGCATACATGTAATTAGTTGTGTGTGGGAGTTAAATGCAATATATGGGCTTTTATTTACATTTTTAATTTTTAGAAGACACTTAAAATTCAGTTTATATCGTTTTAAAATTCAAAAGGGTCAGTCCAGGGAGATGACTCAGTGGTTAAAGGCACCTCTCACCAATCCTGATGAGACCAGTTTGTTCTCTGAAACATTCAAAGTGGAAGGAGAGAGTTAACTCCTCCCTTGAGTCATCCTCTGACTTCCATATGAAATGTATGTGCCTCCTCCATAGAATAAATTAAATGTATTAAAAATCAAAGGTGACAGAGCACTCAATGAAAAGTCCTGTTCCCATCTCTCTTTCCTTGTTCTCTCCATGGACAGCCAATGTTGGCGTTTTCTCCTAGATAGTTTTTTTTAAGTTCCATTATTTTTTAGTAAGCTTGTATAGGCAGTAGATTTTTATTATGATCTTTTTCTTTATTTTTTATCGAGGGAGCTGGATTAAGAGCTCAGTGGTTAAGAGCACTAAGAGGACCTGGGTTCAATTCCTAGCACTCACATGACAGCTAACAACTGTCTGTAATTCCAAGATCTGATACCCTCATACAGACATACATGCAGGCAAAACACCAATGTACATAAAATAAAAACAAAGTATTAAATTTTTTTCATACAATATATTTTTATCATGTTTTTCCCTCCCCAAACACTTCCAGGTCACTTCGCTACCCATCCACTTTCATGTGTACATACATACATGTTCTCTCTTGCTTGCATTTGTCTCTCTAAAGAAAACAAAAACAAAATCCAGACAAATAAAACCACCAAGAGAAAATAATAATAATAGCAATAATAATAGTAACTCAAAATAAGCAGCCCACCAAAAAATAACATGAAGTTTACTTTGTGTTAGCCAACTACTCCTGGGCCTGAGGCCTGCCCTGGAGTGAGGTTGACATTCCATTGGAGAGAACTGATTTTCCTTTTGCTAGCAGGTATCAGTTGCACATAGCTTTTTGGTTAGGGGTTGGAACCAGTGTCCACTTCCCTGTTCAATGCTGGGACCTCTTCTGACTTGAACCGTGTCGGTATTGTGCATGCTGCCACAGTCTCTTTGGATTAACATGTGCATCAGTCCTGTTGTGTCTGGAAGACAATTTTCTTGGAGTCATCCATTACCTTAAGCTCTTCGAATCTTTTTGTCTCCTCTTCTGGATAGGGGAGGAATTTGATGAAGACATCCCGTTTAGGACTGAGTGTTCCAAAGTTTCTCACTCTCTACACATGGTTCAGTTGTGGGTCTCTGAGTTTAATTCCCATCTATTGCAAGAAGAAGCTTCTCTGATCTATGGGTACAGTAGTATGTCATTAGGAGTCATTTTTTTGCTATGTTCCTTTAGCAGAAGTCATTATGACATTTTCATGCATACGCAAATTGTATTTGGTTTATATTTACTTCCCTATCACTATCCTCTGTCCTCTTAACCTCTGCTACTGGCCTGCTTTTCCTCACAAACATTACCCTTTCTGCTTATATGTGTACATATATATGTACATATATATATGTTTATATAGCTAAATATAGATTCTACATGAAAAATGCAATACTTTTTCTTTTCCTCATTATCCTCTGTTGTTCTGCCTCTTCCTCTAGATCACTTCTTTCTAGAGATATGTCTATGCCTTCAAGAAAGGATGTATATTTATTATATATTTTATACTTGCTATTCCAAACCTTTGATAGTGGTTATCTCTAGAAAGTAGAATAAAGGGAGAAGAGAGTACAGAAATTCTCTTACATGGGATTTTCTTTGGTTTTGGTTTTGGTTTTCGAGACAGGGTTTCTCTGTGTAGTTTTTGGAGCCTGTCCTGCAACTCACTCTGTAGAGAAGGCTAGCCTCAAACTCACAGAGTTCGGGAGCACTCTGTGTCTCAAATGCTGGGATTAAAGGAGTATGCTAGCATGCCTGGCATGTATATATATATGTTTTTAACATAATATTTGTATGTATTTATGAGGTACAATGTTATATTGGGTAGTGACTGACTCAGTAATCTAAATTTTTAGTGCATTCTATACTGCTTTATGATATATAAAGCATTATTGTTAATTATATTCATCCTGTATTCTATAATAGAATACCAGAATTTATTCATTTGATGAAACAGTAATAACATTATACCAATTGATTGACCTTTCTCTTTCCTTTCTATTCTTCCCGGTCTCTGAACATCTATAAAAATAACTTTTAAAGATAATACTTACTAACAGTTATTTGCATACTGTAAAATTAACTTGCTCAAGTATGTAATTAAGTGAATTTTATTAAGTTTATAGAATGGTCCAGTTATCATTATAGTCCAATTTTAGAAATTTTCTTTCATCCTTCTTATCCCAGGCTAAAACTATCTCATCACTACTACTAAATATATTTATTTATCTGTATGATTTGCTTTTTCTGGAAATTCCATATAAATAAAATCAGAATATGGTCTTTTATGTCTGACTTATTTTACTTAGGGTATGCTGTTTTTGAGATTCATTTATGATATAGCAAAGATCTATTATTAGTTGCTTCATTTTATTGTTGAGTAGTATTCCTTTTTCTGGATATACTAATTTTGTTTATTCACTATTTTGTAATCATTTGGATGGCTTCTATTTTGAGCTAGAAGCAATAATGATGAATAATGAATAATGATGCTTTGAACATTCTTGTTCAAGAGTTTTGTTTTTGCATATGTATGTGTGTGTTATGTATACACATGCATGTTTGTGCACATTTGCATGTGGAAGCTTGAGGTAGGTATCAGATGGCTTCTCCAGTGTCTCTCCACATTATATGTTGAGGTAAGCTCTCTTTCTTAGCTGGAAGCTCTCCTTTCAGCTGGTCTGGCTAGCCAGCTTGCTCTGGAAATTCCCTGTCTATGCTTCCTACATCTAGGGTTTACAGGTTGACCACCACAGGCCCACCTGATGTTTACATAGGTTCTGGTAATCTGAATCTCCACTACTTCATTTCCCCAGCCCCATATACAAGTTTTTATGTGGAAGTATATTTTCGTGTCAAGAAGTGGCTAAAAATTGTTCTAAAGTGTGTTTGTGTGTCATTTTACATATTGATCAGCAATCATAAAGTTGTATCTCCTGTGTTTGGTTGGTTGGTTTTTGGGTTTTTTGAGATAGGGTTTCTCTGTGTAGCTCTAGCTGTCCTAAAACTTGCTCTGTAGACCAGGCTGTCCTTGAACTAACAGAGATCTGACTGCTTCTGCCTCCCGCGTACTGGGATTAAACAACACCTGGCTCTCCTGTGTATTTTGCATGAGTTACTTGAGACTTGGTTTTAGAGTTAAGAGATTTGGTTTGTTAGAACTAACATGCACTTCATTATTTTCTTTCTAGTCATGTGTAGTTTGGGTGGTGTTTCTGTAATTTTAAAATATTTTTTGAGATAGAGTCCCTTGTAGTTCAAGCTGGCCACAAAATCTTATTATAGCTGAAACTGCCCTTCAGCTCCTGATTTTTCTACCTCCACCTCCCAAATGCTAAGAGTACAGAAGTATACTACCACACTAGACTCATTGTACATTTCTTTTTCAATTTTATTTGTGTATATGTCTGTATATGTGTGCAGGTATCTGTGGAGCCCAGAAGAGGGCATCTGAGCTAGAGTTACAAATTGTTGTGAGGCACCTGGCATGGATGCTAGGATTCAAACTCAGGTCAGCAAGGGTAACAGCTGCTCTTAACTGCTGAGCCATCAGTCCAGTCCTGTCTATTGGTGTTTTTAATAAAGATTATGGGAGTGTTTGTTTTGTTTTGTTTTGGGCTGTTTGGGATGGAACCCAGAGCCTCATACATACTAGACTAAGTCCTGTGCCACTGAGCTACATCCTTAACCCCTAGTTTATAGTTAATGGATACATTGTAATGTTTTATGATACACCTATATTGTGAAATGATTACCAACCTCAAAATAGTTAACTTATTTATAGTGTTAAGTTTCAAATGTGCAGGGCAATATCGATGAAATAATAAAACCTCTATATCTTACTCATCGTAACATAGCTACCGCTGTATATCCCTTACCAGTATCTCTCCCACCTCACCTTATCCTTTAAAACCACCATTGTATGTACCCTTTACTTATACAAATTTCTGGGTTTTTTTTAGATTCCATATGAAAGTCTGATCATGCATTTTCTTTTTCTGTATGACTTGCTTCACTTAACATAATGTCCTGCTGTAGATGTATCCACATTATCAAAACTAATCAGAAGTAGTTTTTTGACAGAGTCCTTTTCTGTAGCCCACGCTAACCTCAAATTCACCAATCTCCTGCCTTAGCCTCTGTAGTACTGGGATGATAGTTATGCACCACCATATCTGACTCAGTATGGTTTACCTGGTGACTAATGTTATGGAATGCATTTTTGTGTGTCTGATTGTGGTCATTTGCATATTACCTTTGGAGAAATGCATATTTGAATCTTGCTTGCTTTGAAATTATCTTAATTACTGACATCTAAGAGTTCTTTAAATACTCTGGGTGTAAATCTTTACTAGATAAATAGTTGCAAATATTTTTCAGTCTTTGGCATGACTCCCTTCCTCTTTTCTTTGTTTCCAGGGCCTTGCCCTATAGCCTACACTATTCTTGATCTCTTCCTCCTGCCTTCAGTTTGCTTAGTGCTAGCATTGCTGTCTTGTGCTATTGTCTCTACCTTGACTTTTCATTTTTGTTTTCTTTTTTCTTTTGTTTTGTTGTTATTGTGGGGGTTTTTTGAGTCAAGGTTTTTCTGTATAGCCCTGGCTGTCCTGGAACTCTTGAACTCAGAGATCCACCTGCCTCTGCCTCTGCCTCTGGAGTGCTGAGATTAAAGGCATGCTCCACCACTGCCCAGTGGACCGTGTCTTACTTTATAATTCTGACTTCCCTGGATTACATAAACCAGGCAGTCCTCAAACTACAGAGATCTGCCTGCCTCTGCCTTCAAGGTATTGGGATTAAAGATGTGTGTATACCTGCATGCCCGGCATAGATAGATGTCTATTCTTATGCCATTCTCATAGTACCTCATAAGTTTTGAAATAGTAGTTTAAGTCCTATGGTGTTTTTTTCTAGCAATGTTGTCTATTTTAGGTACTTCCTTTATATATCAGGGTTTTAAAAATCATTTTTTCTTTGACAGTGTCATCACTCACATACACAATGCATTTGCTGATTCTAAGAACAGTTGATCATCTATTTTTGTAGTAATTTTTGTTTGTTTTTTGAGACAGGGTTTCTCTTTATAGCCTTGGCTGTCCTGGAACTCAGTCTGTAGACCAGGCTGGCCTCAAATTAGCAGAAATTCATCTGCCTCTGCCTCTTGAATGCTGGGATTAAAGGTATGCACCATCACACCCCAGCCAATAATTTTTGATAATTTAATCTTAATATGATTGTCCAAATAAGATGATGTAAAAATGACCACAGAAGTTGTTGTCCCAACATGTAAAGGGAACTCTCACAAGGTCTTGTGCCTAGGTGAAGAGCTACAGACAAGGGAGAATCAATCTTCTCCAGGAATGAGGCACCTAATAGGTTATCTAATCACGTGTTTAACCCTAAGCACATAGACATTACAAACAGCACTAAATGGACACAATAGGTAAGCACATAGACATACAAACAGCACTAAATGGACACAGTAGGTTGTATTTACATGTATATATGTGTATGTTATTATTGTAACATATAAGTGACAATAAGAAGAGGTTATGAATTTGAAAGAGAGTAGGGGGACATGGGAGGAACTGGAGATGGGAAAGGGAGGTAGAAATAATGTAAATATGGTGTTCATGTACATGTCATTTTTTTACAGGAATAAATGGTAGATTTTGATGAGGTTTACACTTAGGGGAAAATTGCCTTTTGGGGAGAGTAATGAGTAGGGACTGAGGCCAGTGATTTGCATATGCTAAGCATATGTTCTACCATTGATCCATATTCTTAGCCCTACCATGGTAATATTTCACATGACTCATTTTATGTTCTTCTCATTGTTTTCCTAGTACCAAGAGGGTAAAGAGCTTATCCAAGTCTCGGAGAGCCAAAATTGCAAAGAAGGTAGACAATGCAAGGCTAGTAGCAGAACAGGTCATGGGAAATGAATTTGACTTGGATTCAGATGATGAGCTGCAGATTGACGAGAGACTGGGAAAGGAAAAGGCGAGCCTGATAATAAGATCAAGTATGTTTCTGTTCTATTTCTTCTCTGCCCTGACATTTCATGTTTGTTTTAGGTTTGAGCTTGTTGGCTTTCTGATTTACCAGGCACTATATACCTACATAAGTTTTCTTTTTTTTTTGCTTTAGAGATTTATTTTTCAGTTAATTCCTCACCGCTTTGAATTATGTGTTGGTGCTTATTACTTAAAAGAAAATTGCATTCTTTTATTTATTTTTGTTGTTTTTTTTTGAGGCAGGGTTTCTCTGTTTAGCCCTGGCTGTCCTGTAGACCAGGCTGGCCTCGAACTCACAGAGATCCACCTGCTTCTGCCTATTGAGTGCTAGGATTAAAGGCATGCGCCACCACTAACTGGCCAAAATTATATTCTTGTCCTCTTTCCTTTGAGTGTTTGGCTCAGATGCATCATAATCTTAGCCTCATACTAATATATTGCATTGTATTTTAGAATTTCCCCGGAAGTTGCCTCGAGCAAAACCTTGCTCTGACCCCAACAAGATTCGTGAACCTGGAGAAGTTGAGTTTGACATTGAGGTAGGAGCATGCCCTGGTTCTAGTCAAGGGACAAAAATATTGTATATTCAATTTCTGAAATATTTACAAAATAAAAGAGTGCATGCTAGGCTTGGAATATTCTTCACTGTAGAGCATTTACTTAGCATGTACAACGCCCTGAATTCAATTCCAGTCCTATAAAATTTTAAATCGCATGCTAAGTTGTGATCAGGCAATAAATGGAGATTATAATTTATTTAAATTTTTTAAAATCCTTTAATGAGCAAAACATAAGGCAGTATCACTTAACAAAAAAAATCTACCTGATTTGCAGTATATGGTATATCCTTTCACAAATTGTCTTATTTCATTGGTACCTAGATTGCTCACGTGTCAAATATGTATTATAGTATTTTTACAAAGATACAGTAAAGATTAAAATGACAGAAAAAATGTTCTGCATAATTAATGGTCTACATTTAGGATGTTAGGATTCATACTGTCAACCCTATATTGGAAACTTACCAGACCTGCCCTGTACAATTGAGGCAATATGCTCTTTCCTTAACAGGAGGACTATACAACAGATGAGGACATGGTGGAAGGGGTTGAAAGCAAGCTTGGGAATGGGAGTGGTGCTGGTGGAATTCTTGATCTACTTAAGGCCAGCAGGCAGGTGGGGGGACCTGACTATGCTGCCCTCACGTGAGTAATCTCCATTTTCCAGGCTATCAAAGAGTACTACCCAAAGGGCTAGGCTATTTATTGAGCATTTTTATTTGTTTTGGGTTTTTGAGACAGAGTCTCTTTATTTAGCCTAGGCTAGTCTTCTACCTTGACTCCAAGTGAGTGCTGGTATTACAGGGATGTACCACCATACCCAACTTACTGAACCAAGTAAACAGACAAATAACAAGGAAATTTATGCTGAAAGAATAACATAGATGTGAAAATATCCTGGGAATCTTTAGATCTGGCAGTGACAAGATATGTGGTAGTGACAAGATATGTAGACTTGAAGAGAAATCAATTTTAAGTGCATTGAAAATGGGCCAGGGGGAGTCATAGAAAGAGAATTGTTAATAAAAAAGAAATAATGTAGCATAGATTGAAAAAAGAGGATTCTGTCTCCCCTCATTGCTTGTCTTTAGAGAGATTTGAGGCAAAACTAGCTTTTCATGAAAACAGTTTTTAAAATTATCTTCATTCTTAACCAACAATGGTTCTCCCCTTTGTAACACCTTGATTGCCATAGCTGTTCTTCCTTCCTGAGTGTTCTTATAACTGCTTTCTTCTGACTAGAATAACTTCCCCAGTGTTTCTCCTCTGTCCTTTACAGTGAGGCCCCAGCCTCCCCCAGCACTCAAGAGGCCATCCAGGGCATGCTGTGTATGGCCAACCTGCAGTCCTCATCATCCTCACCAGCTACCTCCAGCCTGCAGGCTTGGTGGACCGGGGGGCAAGACCGAAGCAGTGGGAGCTCCAGCAGTGGGCTGGGCACTGTGTCTAACAGTCCTGCTTCTCAGCGTACCCCAGGGAAGCGGCCCATCAAGAGGCCAGCATACTGGAGAAACGAGAGCGAGGAGGAGGAGAATGCCAGTCTCGATGAGCAAGACAGCTTGGGAGCATGCTTCAAGGATGCTGAGTATAGTAAGAATGTGTTAGCGTATGGAGCTAGATTGAAGGAGTTCCCTTTAGCCCAGTCTCAATCCTAACTCTAAAAGAAGACAGTCTTACCTTAAGCTAGGCACTTATTTTTTTTTCTGAGCCATGTTTTCTTGTTCTGTAAAAAGGGGGTATCTCTAGGTTGTTGTAAGAATTAAAAATTATACTTACTCAGTGAACTAAGCCCTTGGTGGCTTATTCATGGGAAGTCCTTCAATATAGTACAGTTCTTTTATGATTAGCTGTCATCTGGTTTTGGTCATATTAATCTTTCACTCTAACAAACTTTCTTCCACTCTTGCTTATTTGATTACCACCCACCATCTGTGTTGTTAATTTTCTGTGGTAACCAGTTCATTTTTTTTGTGAAGGTATATGCCACCAGCTGACCATAGCTGAACATTCCACATCTATAGTTTCATTCATAGATCATCAATATATGGAAAAATTACATCTGTACTGAACATGTACAGACTCTTTTCTTTCCATTTTCCTGTAACTTGTATAGTACAACTGTTTCCATTGGAAGTATGTGTGGTGAAGGGCATAGAGTGTATGCAAATACCATACCATTTTATATAAGGAACTTAATCACATATGGGTTTGGGTTGGTGGGAGAGGACATTCTGGAGCCAGTTTACTTCAGGTATTGATGGAAAACTGAAATGATCTTCATTAAACTTTGCATATTTAAGAAATAAGTCCTAAAAATGATGAGTCATTAAAAGGATGATTTTTGGAGTAATATAATGAATGAAGCACTGATTTATATAATGTAGGTAACAATAATATATATATTTTTATTTTACTATTTTTTAAATTATATATAATTAACTTTTATTGACTGAGACCAAAAAACTAGAAAAAGACAAAATTCCTTAAGCCTTATACTCTCCTTTCTGAGTTTCCTTTAGTTATGTTCTCATATAACTTACATGTAGACAATATTTGTTTAATGTATGTGACTCTACAGTTTGGCTGGCTATCTTTCAACATCAGTACATGGAAATATCAGATTCATCAATGCGTTGAGGCTTGCTTGTTGCAAAGTATTCTGTAGCATTATATGTTTAACCATTTCCTTATTTGATATTTAGGTTGTTCTTAAGGTTTTTTATTGCATTGAAAATCCTTGCAATAATCTTTTATGTCCATTTACTAGTGAATGTTTCTCTAGGATTGAAAAACTTGTTGGTTTAAAGATTGTGTACGAGATACAAATTAATAATGTTAAACTGTGCTTCAAAAGTTTCAGCTTATGAATAGTTTATGAGAAATACCTTTTTTCATACAGTCTTAACCAGCAGTGGATATTATCAACCATTTAAATTCTATTGCTAAAGGTAGTGTTTGCTTCTTTGTTTTATATGTTTGTAGACCCTCCTTGTTCATTTCCTGTTAGCTGTCTGTTCATTCAACTATTTTTCTTTTCAACATTTTTTCTTATCGATTTGTAGGTGTTCTTTTCTTATTGTTTTCTTATTGTTTCCTTGTTTTGTTTTGTTTTTGTGGTACTGAGAATTGAACCCAGTGCACCCTACAACTGAACTATATCCCCAGTCCTTGTAGTTCTTATTCTGTGTTTATTAGGTTATTTTCATATATTCCGGATATGCTCATTTTTCTTCCCTTTTTTTGGTTATTCGAGACAGGGTTATTCTGTGGCTTTGGAGGATGTCCTGGAACTAGCTCTTGTAGACCAGGTTGGTCTCGAACTCACAGAGATCCGCCTGCCTTTGCCTCCAAAGTGCTGGAATTAAAGGCATGTGCTACCACCGCCTGGCTTCCTTTTTTGTTAGAGAGGAGTACCAGGTATTTTTCTCATGTTTGTGTAGGTCTAATGTGGTTGAGTTCTACTGGGGAGCCGACAGAAGAGTAGAGACAAGAAGTGGAGATTTTTTTTTTCCAGTCTTGGCTACTCTAGTTCCAGGCTCCTTACTGTCTCCTTGCCTCATTTTTTTCTGGTCTGCTCTTTGCTGTGCATCATAGTTTGACAAGTGACCTCCTTACAGGAAGATTACAATATTGCTCTCTAATTTTTGAGGCAGGTTTCATTAGAAAGCCCAAGGTAGCTTCAAACTTGTGATTCTCCTGCTGCAGACTACTGAATGTTGGGATTACCATGACCAACTGGGTGGGGGTGTGAACTTTGGAAAATGGAACTGGGTGTAGTGGCTCACACCTATAATTCCAGCACTTGGGAGATAAAAGACAGAGGGTAAGGATAGCTTCTGCTGTGGCAAGGCTAGTCAGCTTCATAGTGAGTTAGAAGCCAGCCTGAACTACCTCAAAACTTTATCTTTGTGGTCTGGATACAAGTCCTTTATGTGAATTTAACTTATGAATACTATCTCCCAAACTATAGTTTGTCTTTCATTCTCTTAACTTTTATAACAAATTTGTTATTTTCTGTAAAGCTCAAATTATTAACTTTATTTTCAATGGATTTTGATTTCTGTGTCTCTATAGTTATATAGTTTAACTACTATATAAACCTAGTCAATGATAATTTTTAGGTATTACATGCTTTATTCATTTTGAGTAAATTTTTATTTACAGTATATTAGGTCATTGCTTACATTTTTGGCTTATGGATTTACAATTGTATCAGCACCACTTATTTTAAAGTTGTTTTTTCCTACTGAATTCTCTCTGTACTTCAAAACAGTTACTTAATTCATTTTGAGAATGTGTATGCAAATGAGAGGGGGCTACATGTCACTGCACATGTGTTGAGGTCAGAAGATAGCTTTGGGAAGTCAATTCTCTCCTACCATGGGAGTTCTAGAGATTGAATTCAGGTCATCAGGCTTGGCAACAAGTGCCTTTACTCACTGATTGCTCTCTACCTTAGGTTTTGAAACAAGGTCTCTCTATGAGCATGAACTAAAGTATTTGGCTAGACTGGGTTAGCCAACAGGATGCAAAGGTCTTTGTGTCTTTGCCTCCCCAGGGCTGGGATTACAGACACATGTCATCATGCCTGGCTGGCTTTTTTGTTGGACAAGGAATTGAACTCAGGTTCTCTTGTTTGCATAGCAAACACTTTACAACTAGGCCATCTCTCTGGCCTTTTGGTCATCTCATTTACTACCTAAGCCCAGAACCATAGTTTCAATAGTTTTTATCTCTTAGGGAATATGATGGCTATACCAGTTTGCATTCCTAGCAGCATTGAATAAGTGTTCATTTTCCCCACATCCACATCAGGATTTGTCATCTTTTTTTTGTTTGTTTGTTTTATGTTGATTTTTTGTTTTTGAGCTGGGATTTCTTTGTGTTGCCTGACTGTTCTGGAACTTGCTTCAGAAGATAAGTTTTAATTTGTATTTGTCTAATGGCTAAGGATGTTGGACCTTTTAAAGTGTTTTCAACCGTTTACATTTCATATTTTAATTGGGTTGTTCATTTCATTTTTTAATTCTTTGTTTTTATATATTCTAAATACTAGCCCTCTGTTGGATGCTGTGTTAATTACTTTTCTATTGCTGTGATAAAACACCATGACCAACACAAATTATAGAGTGTTTATTTGGGCTTAGGTTTTTAGGGGGTTAGCATCCATGATGGTGGAGCATCAAGGAACAAGTGGGAGCCCACATCTAAAACTTCAAGCAGGATGAAAAAAGTATACTGAACATGGTACAAATCTGTTGAAACCTTGAACCCCACTCCTCAGTGACACACGTCCCCTAACAAGGCCACACCTCTTAATCCTTCCCAACAATTCTACCAATTGGGGAGCAAAGAGTCAAACATATGTGTAAATACAGGACATTCTCATTCAAACTGCCACAGGCGCATCTCTGATAAGAGTTCTTCCCATTCTGTAGACTACCTCTTTACTCGATTGTATCCTTAAAAATTGTTTAGTTTTATGGGGTCTCATTTGTTAAGTTTTGGTCTTAATGCCTGTATTATTACGGTCTTGTTCAGAAAATCCTTTCCTGTACCAGTGAGTTCAAATATACTCCCTACTGTGTACTCTATCATTAAAGTTGGGGTATCAGGTATTAGGTTAAGGTCCTAGATCCATTTGGAGTTGACTTAAGTTCGGGGTGAAAGATGAAGATCAAGTTTCATTCTTCTACATGTTGTTGTCTAGTTTTACAAGCTGCTTTTTCTCTTGAGTATTATTAGATTCTTTGTCAAAACTCAGGTGTGTTTATGAGTCCAAAATTCTATTCTATTGATCAATGTGTCTCTTTTTAAAGTCAATACCATGCTGTTTTCATTACTATAGCTCTGCAGTATGATTTATAATCTAGCAGTTTTGCTGTTGTTATTCAGGACTTTTTTGCCATCCTGGGACTTTTGTGTTTCTGAAATTTAAGATTGTTTTTTTCAGTTTCTGTGAAGAATTGTATTGGAATTTTGATGGGAATTGTATTGAATCTGTAGCTTGCTTTTTGACAGGATGGCCATCTTCACAGTATTTATTCAGACAATCCATGGATGTAGGAAATATTTCCGTCTTCTGTTGTCCTTTTCTGTTTTTCTTTTCAGTGTCTTAAAGTTTTCATTGTACAAGATTTCATTTATTTTATTTTATTATTTGTTCTGTTTTTTTTTTTTGAGACAGGGTTTCTCTGCGGCTTTGGAAAATGCCCTGCAACAAGCTCTTGCAGACTGGGCTGGTCTCAAACTCACAAGAGATCCACCTGCCTCTGCCTCCTGAATGCTGGGATTAAAGGCGTGCACCACCAATGCCCGGCTAAGATTACATTTCTTTAGTTAGATTTATTCCGAGATTTGTTTTTGAGGCTATTATGAAAGGTACTGTTTTCTCTGAATCCTTCCTTTCTCAGTATGTTTGTCATTTGTATATAGGAAGATTACCAATTTTATAGAATAATTTTGTATATTGCTACTTTGTTGAATGTATTTATCAACTGTAAGAGGTTTCTGGTGGCATCTTTAGGGTCTTTTAAATCTAGAACCATATCATCTGAAAATAAATATACCTTGACGTCTTCCTTTCCAAT